AATTTTCATTAAAATTTTTTAATTGGCAAAGGTCTCCTCAGCATATTTCTCTGTTTATGAGAAATGCGTTATGATAAGATACTTTAGTCAAATACGAATATGTTTTATTAAATAGTATATATATATATATATATATATAATTAACAATACACAATTCACTTGTTTACAATGATTGTCGTCCTCACGGTTGAAGATTTTTACGGTATCATGCTTGTCGTGTTTTTTTTTTAACCTCCAACACTTTCAAATGTATTCTTCATTGAAACCATGATTTAGTTACATGCTTTACTTTTCACGAAGTAAATTGAACAACAAAGCCTAGTTAGCTTTCATTTACATTATTAATGAATTGTTCTGCGAGCTCTGTCGTAAAGCACCACATACAAACATCTTATAGCTTAATATTAATATGCCTATTAACCACATGTTGTAAAATAAACATCGTAATTAAATCTATTTGTATAACACAAACCTACAGTTCGAAAATGTTTTGGCGATGATGATTAAACTAGCCCTATCAAAACAGGCTTCCCAAGTTGAAAGTTAGGAGTAGACATTAAAAGCAGATGGAGGGTCGCCAAATGGTACATCCCCGACTTATCAGAAATAAAAAATCCAGACTTAATCAGATTAATTGAGATTATAAATTGTTGTTTGTCTCATAAGTACAAAGAAAATTTTCGTCTGTTTTATTATTTATGTATTAATTACATTATTACATTTACTCACATCAGGACGGACTTAACGAAGTTTAAAAGTTTGTGTTACGGCTATCAAGTGTATGAACGATGGAGGTTTTCCCTTCTATTTTTTTCGTGTTTTGTATTTGACTTAAGTAACTGTATACAGAAGAAAGTTTTAATATTTTATTTTATCATTTTGTTTGTGTCGGTAATTACGATTTATAATTTAAAAATATAATTCTTTAATGAGCGGTTCTTAGTTACGAAGATTTGTTTGTTTGTAATTATGCACAAAGCTAAACAATGGGCTATCTGTGCTCTGCCCACTACGGGTATCGAAACCCGGTTTCTAGCGTTGTAAGTCCGTAGACATACCGCTGTGCCACTGGGGGACAGTTACGAAGAAGAAAAGAAACTGCATTTGGCTTAGTTTAATTATTGTAATTGGCTCTTTTTATTTTTAGTAGACCAGGGATATACAGTTTATAGACCATGTCCTACTGTCTACGTTTCTATGCCTAAGTTTCAACAGGGGTAGGATTGTGCTTATAAGAGTGGTATAAATATCATAATCAGAAAATTTTCGAACTGTGGGTAGAGTTTATTAATAGGTTCCTGTATGAGTTTTACTCTATAATATGACTCTTATTTATATCGTTATAAAACATTATGGTAAATCTACTAACTTGAACTTAGAAGAGCAGTGAAGGGGCTTTTACACACCCTTTTTAATAGTGATAAATTTTCGGTATCATCGCACTGCCTAAAAATGCCCATATCAAAATGTTGTTTTGATGCATTCCCTTCCACTGCGGTTTCATATTGATTGTGGTTCTCAGAGTCTTGCTGATTTGTATCTTCAAATCATTCAATATATTGTGCTAAACCTACCGTGCGCTCTCCCGAGCAAGCACTCGGTTACAAATCATCGTCTTCATCTTCTTCTTGTTATTTTTATAATAACTGTTACTCTTCATAAAAAATCAAAAGAATGTTTAAAGCTCTTTGAAACATATGCTACTGTATCTTACTACGACAGTTAACAGTTGTGTTTTGCTAGGTTAACTTCAAGGGGTAATATCTTCTAAGCGTGATCAGTACTTCATGTAACCCAGTTGTTTCTTTAGGGAGTTTTGTTATAGCAATGTTTGTCTTTTTAAAAGCTAGCACTCAAATGACTAGGGAAAACAGAAAACTAAGTATCCAATTTGAGATAACAACTTTACTTAAACGTTGCACACCAACTGTTGAAGAATGATGAGTGAAAACATGTCAGAGTTTTCTGTACGCTTCACAGTGTGTTTTCACATATCATTGAACTGAGCAGCAATTCGTAGTTCATTGAAAGCCATGTAACTGGCTGATTTTTATGTTCATTCTTTAATTTTCTTTTTCACATAAACCACGCCTAAATAGGTCACTTGATATTTATTCTCAGCTGTTAAAAATCATTTACACCATACAAATGCATATCAACCCTATGGAGTAGCCTAAAAGTTTACTGCGTTCTCTTATGAACTGCATATTTGACTTTGTGTAGAATTTAGCTTACTTCGTACACTGTTGTGTCTGCAGCTGGCTCCATCTCACAACTAGTCGGAATACCCCTTTGTATATGTCAAAAGTTGCTCTTCACTGTATATTGGGCATAGTAGTTTGATACTATCCCACTGGTGCTACATCATTATAATCTAAGACATTTTTTAGACAATTGGTCACATCTCTGTTTTTAGTATCACTGACTTTCCTTTGGCTGTTGACGGTTTCTATTATCTGCTGGTCGATTTTTGTAGGTCCTTTGAATTTTTATTTCACACATACGATACATTAATTGTGATCCTTTTTTTAAATATGTATTTAGATTTTATTCAAGATTTTATATAATTCAAACTAAGCAATTTTACCCATATCACTTATTACATTGTTTACAACACTCAAAGCAATGCATATCCATATACACAAAATATTAATGCATAGACAAACACATCCAACTTACAAGCACAATTCATTCTTTATCAGCTGTTTCATATCGTGTGATAAACTACACAATTACTCACCAGCTGTTGCCTTTGAAACTAAGTTTTAATAGTACGTGTGAATAAATATGATAAAATGAATTACGTTATTACAAAAGTGAAATTGTTGGCCAATCAAGAAGTTTTCGAATTACACAGATTAACACCATATAAAAATGAACTCATAACCCCAATTTTATCCTAAATGTAGATGTGTGATTTTCTATTTATATAACACTTAAAACAACTACATATCAACTGTTTGTAGGTTGAACTTTACATTTTTTATTCAATGCATTATCGCAAGACAGCCTCATTGACAATACTAATTAATATAATGTTCCACTATATGCTTGAGTATACACATTCCTGACGTATTACCAATTTTATTCTAACTATTAAACATTATTGTCGGTCAATAAATTTAACGAACGTAGTGGATAACGCTTATGATCAAAAAGTGAGTGTAGTAGTGCTGCACAATTAAAGTCTTAAACCTAAACCCTAAACATTTCAAAATATTCAAATTGGACATCATCTCCCTGGTATCTAGTGATGGTGTTCTATACAGATATTACAGACACACCCAATAAATTATTCTTGTGCACGACGATATTGTACGCACTTGTTGGTTGAACATTTAGATTATTTTTCTATCTTACTTCCGTTCACAGTATCAGTTTATGTTAATTTAAGTTGGTTTGGAGAAATATTCTGATTTTTCTATAGAAAATTGAACGTCAAATGATGTGAGAATGATTCTTAACTAGCTTCAAGCAAAATTGGAGTAGACATCATGCAACTGAATATTGATTTACAGCGGAGTGGAAAATAAATCTTAGAACAAAAACAAGTGATAGAAGCTAAAAGTAATGGGTTAGAAGAGGGACTGATCGAACATGCCTAACGAAAAAACAGTGTATAATACTAGTCAACCTGAACATAAGAAATATAGAAGGACAAAAACTGAACAAAAAATAAGCTATTTGAAAAATAAAATATATTTTCATAACCTTGGCCATATATTTAAAGCTGTTAGAAATACAATGTGTGAGATGTTCATTGAAGTAAATCAGAAATTCTAACTGAAATCTGGTAGGGATTTTCACAGAAATCTGCAAGAAATTCACTTTAAAAAAGTGGAAGTCTTACAGGAGAATCTTATTTTCCGAAACTAGGATTTTCCCCATCAATAAAAGTATTATATAGCAAATATTCGACTGTAGTTTCAAGCTTTTCACTCGCTTATACTTATGCTACTTATGCAAGCGTTCAGTTGGTACTTGGTGACCTAAATGCAGCTTGTCAGAAAAGCTGCATATTCACCAACTCAGTCCTCACAGCCTGTCCTAAAACGTAATTTAGATTTCGTTTATTCTTGGTGTTTAATAACGTGTTCGTGAAGGCTTTATTTCCTTTACAAATATTTTATTTGGGATTACTTAAAGTGGTTTTAAAATACACTTTTGGCATCTTTAGTAAGTAATGCTATATAGTTAAATGCTTCTCCATGTTAAAAGATCCTTTTCAGTTTAATAAATAAGGCGAAATGTTTGAATTGGTGATTATATTAATCATACTTTATATACAATTCAGATTCTGTAGATGCTCGCTTATTTAATATATCTACCCAGTTAGACCTCTTGAGGTTCATCTAGTAGAGGAAGGACTCCATCTCTCAGCAGGAAAACCCGCGGAAATTGAATGTTATACAGCTGGTTCACGACCTCCTGCAACGATATCATGGTGGAAAGGGAATGTTCGGCTCATGACTGCCAAGTCAGTGGTTTCTGTTAATGGTAATGCTACAACTAGTATCTTAACATTCACGCCCAGTTTGGAAGATAATGGTGTTTACCTTTCCTGTGCTGCTGAGAATCGCCACTATTATTACCAACAACAACTTATATCAACCTAGTTGGTTAATAATTTTAAAATATTTTAACCTACATAAATATTAGAATGTGACTGCTTCAATTAATGTGTCACAGTTTACATTCATTCTCAGAACCAACTGCGTTTGTTTTAATGTAGAATAGCAATATAAACAATTGATAAATGTGTATAGTTATGTAGCTAAATGCACATGTGAGTGAACAGAAAACAACTCACAATGTATCTCCAGTTTAATACCATCTTCCATATCGCTTTCGGGCACCAAAAACTTTAGGAAACAATGGAAATATTTCTACAGATATTTAAGGTAAAAAGTACGATATCTTTCAGCAAGAAACCTAGTATTATATATATTGACTTTAAACAAATCCTAGCGAGGACTTGGTTTAACGATTCTTAGAAAAACGCCATCCTTTGGGTCAGTGGTAAGTTTTCGCATTTAAATACGGGTTTGAATCCCCGAGGTGGGCAAAGCACGGATAATCTATTGTGCAAGAATCAAAGTGCTCGCCTAGCCTTTATTGAGTTTTTAATAAAATATTTCCATACCACATAGAAATACTACAAATTTAGCATAATTTGTATACGCTGAATTCACCAATACACAGTGCACATTATTCTTTTAATACATAAGTGTACTTTTTGTACATTGAGCCGTAAAAATACCACGTTATACATGTGTTGTTTCTAATTAATAATACATAAAACGTTTTTTTTTCGTTTGTTTGTCTGTATTTTTAATTTTTAAGTCAATTACTTATGCAGCGTAGCTTAGAGTAATCTCAAACTCTACAGACCTACGTGTTGAAATATCTTGGAAAAAACAACTTACATCTTAGGTAAAGGAAAGGTAATTATGTATCTGTCACTTTATAGTAGTTCTGAAGTAAACATTGGAGAATCGCAATTGAGGCTGCTTCTGGGGAAAATTAGATTGATGATATGACAAAAGTAATTACATTTCAAGATCTGGTATTAGCTACGCTACTAAGTGAAACATTTATCTTAGTCTCCTATCTTGACAAGTGATTGTGCTAAACTTCAAACTCTGTTTATTTTCAATAAATATTTGAAAGTCTTATCGTGCTATAAAGAGAAAATTAGGAAAATAAACATGTTGCTTGTTAACTGAAAATAAAATAATTGTACAAAAAACAATTTGATTACACTAAGTAACATACAAATAAAACTACTTTAATTTCGTTCCTTACAATACAGTTGCCTTCCAATAACTCAACAGTAAATTTGAAGGCTTGTAGTGCTAAAAATCAGGTTTCGATACCCGTGGTGGGCACAGCCAGTAAAGCAGTTTTGTGCTTAACTACAAAAGTAAAACAAATACAACAGAGTTTAACACATTAAAAAGTACATTTTAAACGAAGGTGAATACAATCATCACACAATTTACAATATTATAAAATAACTATAAAATTAAAATAATTTAGTTATTTGGATCTCGGAAATATTAGTTTTGCGCCCTTGTTGTTAAAGGTATTTTTAGAAGGAACTCTAAATTTTAGAATTGTATATTTGGTAAAACAAAATTAGAGAATAGTTTAAAGAAATTTGCATTATGATGTGAATGTTGCATAATAATATATTTTTTATAAACAAATGTTTAAAATGTGTGAAACTGCATAAAATGTGAAGGTTCCAGAAATATCGATCCACCCACTTTACTATCACAAAGCAGATTTTGTTTCAAAACTTAGGCTATTTTATACATCCGTATTTTTGTGTGGAAACGTAAAAGAGAATACACGGGTTGACTCTCTCTAACAGCTTTCCCATAAGAAACAGTTTTATTTAGTTTTGAAATATCTTAAAACATATTGAGATGTAATGTATTACCAAATTTTCGTATATTTTTTATGAATTTCGTTCGAACATTCTAAAATCAATAAATATGAAGAGCTTAATAAGTATTATTTTTAATAATGATCTTTCTTTCAATAAATGTTCATACATTTATTTTTGTTTTGATGAAATTTTCTATATAGTATTTTCGGTTGAAAGAGGTTTGATCTAATGAAAACTCAATGAAACCTTTGTATTTAAAGTTTGTGTTTTCTATTTTTTTTTCCAGATGCTCCCCAAGTTTTTCTCCGTCTGGGAAGTAAGCTTCGTCATAGTCACATACAGGAAGGTAATGACGTATATTTTGAGTGCAACATTCGTTCTAATCCAACTGCAACGTATATAGGTTGGACCTTTAAAGGGCAAGAAATATTTACCAATACCACTTTAGGAATCATTGTAAGCAACCAGACTCTTGTTCTACAAAAGGTTCAATTGACCAATAGAGGACACTATACCTGCATTGCAACCAATAGTGAAGGACGTGGGGAAAGCAACAGCGTCTTCCTTAGGGTACAGTGTAAGCATTACACATACTTCTGAGATATATTTGTGAAGTGGATTGTTAACCTGATAAATAATCTTTAAAATATTTTAACTTATTTCATTTTACTAAATTAGCTACCAAGTTAAACATTTCATTTTCATTTTCAACTAAGGCATTCCAGACAGATCAAAATATTGTTTATGATTTTGTACTAGCTTCCATGAACTATCCCTAAAGAAAAAAAAACTTCAATGTTTTATTTTTCACTATTATACAGTTTTTCTTATTATTATTATTCTTTATTTTATATCAATCATTGTTACACCATCCTCCAGTAGGTCAGTGGTTAGTTTACGGACTTACAACGCTAAAATTCGGAGTTCGATTCCTCGCGGTGGACAGAACGCATTGTCTAGTTTTGCACTAAAAAAACAACAACATTGCTAAACCAGTTAGCATTCAATAAATCTCATATACTGTAATTGTTAGTGATATTGATGGCAATATATTCACTATTTTTACAAGATTCGAGCATGATCAAGTGGATAGGGTGACGGTCTGTGGGTTGCATGTTCCATGATTCACGTCATGTTGTCGAACAAAAATTGTGCTCTTCACTTTGAAACCATAAGAGCGTTGTACGAGTGATTGTAAAATCCCACTATTTGTTTAGACCATCCAAAGTGTTGGTTTTCGCCTGCCTATCAACTGAAAATTAGGGATAACTTTGCTCGTATTTTCTAAAAGCTAAGTAGTTCTTACAGACAAGTATCCCATATTCGTGGGTAAAAGTATTTTAATTTTATTTATCGATTATTACCACAGTTTAAAATTATACTAAATGCAATCAAAACCTCCAACAAGAAAAGCCATGTCATAAGTTCGTTTTCTAGCTTTGATTAATCTTCCCACTGTTATGCAATTCTAAATATAAGTTCATTTTCTTAGCTTTGATCAATTTTCTCACTCTTAGGTAAGTGTAAACAGCACAGGAGCTTCTTGACCACGTTTTATTCGCACCAACAGTAGCCGACATAACATCGTATTTTGAGCATAATTTAGATTTTGTTTTACATCAAAGTCATCTACTAAATACCCATTTCTGTTTTATAGGAGTATAGGATTTGATTGAGGATTAAATAAATATAATAAAAATTCAATATTACATTGCATTAATTTGTATTAAAAGTTATTCTTCGACTGTAGTCTAATGAAATTATAAAAACAAATATTGTAGAATATTATATGAAATGATATGGACTTGCATAAAAAAAATAATTAGATAGGTATGGTTTTACATAGCATGATTAAATCATGTACCTTCTTTTAGCTATATTTATTATCACTCTAAGTGAGACAGTTTTATGCCAATAAGTTATTCTGTGTAGTTTACTCTAAGCAAATGTTTGTTTGTTTTGAATTTCGCGCGAACAATGTGCAAATTAGAGATCTGAACAACAGTTCTTTGGTTACATTTGCTTAGGGCCCGGCATGGCCAGGTGGTTAGGACACTCGATTCGCAATCTGAGGGTTGCGCGTTCGAATCCCCGTCCCACCAAAAAGTAGCCCAATAGTTGGCGGTGGGTGGTGATGACTAGCTGCCTTTCCTCTAGCCTTACACTGCTAAATTAGGGACGGCTAGCGCAGATAGCTCTCGTGTAGCTTTTGCACATTTGTTAAGATATAGAATATTTGAAGATATACTAGTAATAATTCTGAGTAATAAGCATATGAAAGTCCTCAAGTTTAATGAACATGTGTAGATTAAATAAATCTATTAACTGAGATGAAACGTTCAAGACAAAGATTACTCTTCACACTAAAGGCAGTAAGTACAAAATTACCAAAAAAATAACCACAATTTTAAGATTATTCATTGTTTCTGCTGCGATCTAATATATTTTGTAAGTATGCTATTGTAGATAATAACCTTTTAGTCCGACTTTTACAAATTATGCTGAAAGGTTTAGGTAATATGCTTATAAGGCTCAACTAAAAATTTTGAAAGAATAGTGCATTTTCAACACGACTATAACACAGTTCTATATTACTGAATTCGCATTGGATGGCAAAATGCCCAGATTACCTTCACGAGTATGAAAATGCCGATTGTATATTTGTTTTGAACTATAAGCTGTGCTGAGTTATAAGTAGTGGTTCTTAGCGCTGAGTCTCCTAGGAACGACACATCACTTTCTGCCAGTAATACAAAAATTAAACAATATATATATATATATATATATTCTAAATCGAAACAATCATTATCCTGATTATTCATTTGTTTTCTTGAAAATTACCCAACTATTCAATAAACTACCAATGTTAGAAAAAATATACGCGGTTTAGTTTATCGTATCGCTCAAGATTTTAATGCAATTTAGTTTATTATTTGTTAATCTGAGTCTATAAAATAATTTTTCATTATTTAAGTAAAATAGAAATGTTTCCAGAAACAATTCAAATGGTATTTGTCTACTAGAATACTTTTAAATTGGCACAGTATCGCGTAACAGTTAATTCAAAATATATACTTTGTACATACATCATGAATAAATAGTGAAATATAATAGCAGTCTTCGCATTTATACTTGATATCATGAAATAACGGCAATAATTAGAATAACGAGAAATAACGTTATTTGGCCTTAATTAATAAACTGGTGTAACAAATATTATATTTATCGATTGTGCATCACTATTAAAGTACATTGTGATTTCTTATTGTTCAGCTTTAATTGATTATTTCTAATTAACTATTTCGCCTACTCTCATGGAGCATCTTTTTTGTTAAACTATTGCAAATAGCTTAATAGAAAACATACTATCACCATTTAGAAAAGAACGTTCTTATCAGATAAGAACTCGACGTTTCAGCTATAATTGCACTCATCAACTCAACTGGGTTGTAGAATGTGCTCCCTGTGAAACCTTTTATGACTATGTGTAACGAGGGAAACATGACATCCTTAGTAATACACTAATTTTGCACCGCTTAACTATCTGAATAGTAAAAGAGAGGGGGGGACCTCAGTCATACGTCGTGTCAGTAATTGCACACTTTGGACAACCTACCTATTGGAATGTTTATATATATCCAATAATATAAACGATTTATATTGTGAACAAAATATTTTTACTGCCGTTGTTGCATATTTATTAATAGACGAGATTTTAAGTGTTATTTGAAAAAATATTTCAATGTAAAACCATTTTGCATAAATGTCTAATTATTGTACACCTCGGTGGATCACTGGTATGACTGAGGACATATAACGCTAAAAACGTTGTTCGAACAGCGTGTGGGCTCAGCACAGTAAACTCGTTGTGTAGCTTTGCGCTTAACAACAAATGATACAAACAAAATATAATAACTGGGTTTACGAAAGCTTTACAACGATTTCAAATCGATATCAACCCCAGAGACTTTATGTTGTGTCACAGAACGAATGTTTGTCTAATAGAAAAATATGGATTTTAACTTTTGTTATCTTCAAAATTATATATTGTACTTACAAGTAGCATGAGTCATTTCTTGCATTATTGGATTGAAAAAAGTTGCTATCTGCATGAAATTTTTAAACAATCCCTTACCCACCTGCAAGCCAGAAACATGTATTTGTAATTATTTAAATAATGATTATTATATATTACTAATAAAAAAAGTCATAATAAATAGTGTTTCAAACTCTGTAAGCTTCTAATAGCCTTTTTTGTCATCTAAATTTCTTCACAACAATAATTGTATGATTCATTTTCATATATTAAATTTTAATTTTTTTAGTGAAAAAATGAACCTAGGCTGAAATTATTCCGGTACTCGATTTTCATGAAGAGAATAATAAACCAAGGATTTCTCACAAATATTTCTAACGAATAATCTAACATGATGCAAATAACGATGAAATAAAACTTTTAGATCTAAAGCACTATTTTCCACTTAGTTCACTGAACTTGAAATGAGAATTAGCTCTCCATCTAAAATGATGGTAAATATGTTATTTACAGTGCTACAACTTTAACGAGCCCCCAGTGGCACAGCGGTATGTCTGCAGACTTACAACGCTAGAAACCGGGTTTCGATACCCGTGGTGGGCAGAGCACAGATAGCCCTTGTGTAGCTTTGTGCATAATTAAAAACAAACAAACAAACTTTAATGATAATTTATTGTTGTTAAATATAAGCTCTATCGTGAGGAATTTTCGTTCCTATAAGCGACGACTATTATTATGTAGTTATTTGTTGAACTGTATTTTATAATTTACAGTGTTAAATGCATTTAAGTATAATTATGATAAATTTTATGACACAAGTGAAAAATTACAACTCAGTTAAGAAATACTAAAATATTACTTAATTATATAAATACATTAAACCACAAAGGACGAAAATGTATATGCTTAGACATATCAGTACAATGTACAAAATAAGGTATAGTATGTTTTACATATATACATATATATATATATATATATGAAATATATGGAATATGTATAGCAGTTTGTAATGTTATTCATTCAACCCAAACAACCTACATCACTACAGATATTTTAAAAGTAGTTAACCCTAATGTTATCAATTATTTATTGGGTATTACTCAGAATATTTGTATTTTGAAAATTGTAAATTTTCTTATAAACAAGTTCGAACAATCTGGTAAAACAAAGTGAGCCCAAACATTGTTTCGATATATATATATATCAAGCAGCTCATGTGTTACTTTTACTGTAAAAAAGAACATTATAAACTCCATTTCCATAAACAACAGCTCGTTAATCTATGAGGTCTGGTCTTGTTGTTTGGTTGGCTCTTGTAAATGATGAAGAGTGGCATTCTTCTAATAGTTTTATGCCAGTCACACGCCGAGAATAAAATCCGAGAAGACTACAATTTGGGTTATGAATTATTCTTAACAATATATATAATGCATATGACTGCTATAGTATGAAATCCACATTAAAATACAACTGTTTAGATAATAAAATATATATTTTTTACTTTTAAATATTTAAGGAGAGCATTATGTTAAAAATAG